AATACATCAGGAAAAAAATAGCTTTATTGGATGGACGTAGAATACAGTTTTTAAAAAGTAGGTCCGTCGGTGGGGGGGGGGGGAGGAAGGAGATAATATATTAGAAAAATAGGTCCATTTTTTGAGGTAGAATATATCTATAAAAAAAAGTCGGTTCTTTGTTAAAGATAATATACAGTAGATTAACCCTTTCAAAGCTGAAAAACTGGTAGTATGCAGGCTGTATATGTATTTTTATAGCTTCTCGTGTGGTCTGTTAGGGGAAAATTAGGTTTCCAAAAACAACTAAAGCCACTCGTTTCCCTTGCATTCAGGGGAAAACAAATTTGAATTTATAGATTAGTTTCTGACTTGCTATTGACATAAAAAAATAGCTGTCTCTAAACCTCTCAATAAACCTATCTATATAACATCAAATGTAGCATTCTCTAAACCTCTCCTCTCATGAATCCTGCCTATGTAACATCAAATGTAGCATTCTCTAAACCTCTCATTAAACCTGCCCATGTAACATCATAAGTAGCATTCTCTAAACCTCTCATGAAAACCTGCCCATGTAACATCAAATGTAGCATTCTCTAAACCTCTCCTCTCATGAAACCTGCCTATGTAACAGCAAAGGTCGTTGAAACCTTCTCCTCGACAGCCCCCCCCCCCCCCAGCACCGATCAATGCAATCGTTGCGTTTATTGTTTTTTAATTATCTTAGCAAAGTGCCTCAGCGATCACAGACATTTAGTGACAACATTTGGGAACTTTTTTATGCTTTTATTCCTCGCCAGTAGAGCTTTACGTATTTCTCATTCAAGGTCCAATTTTAGAGAAAAAATGGGCATGTTACAAATCCTACAGTGTCACTACCTATAGTAAAGAAGAAAAAAATAAACTTGCTTAAGAGATTGTATGTTTGTAAGATCCTTTTTTTAAGTAACCTAATACTGAATCACAGATGAATCACAAAATGTTTTTTTTTAATTCTTAAGTCTTCCGTTTTGTAGCAATTAATTAAATGAAAATAATTTTTTTGGTGAGAATTTATTTAAACAATATTAAACGCAGCATTAGATCTATATGCAACCCTCAATCCCAGACTTAATGCATCCATCAAACCCAGACTTACATGCAGCCATCAAACCCAGACTTACATGCAACCATCAAACCCAGACTTACATGCAACCATCAAACCCAGACTTACATGCAACCATCAAACCCAGACTTACATGCAACCATCAAACCCAGACTTACATGCAGCCATCAAACCCAGACTTACATGCAACCATCAAACCCAGACTTACATGCAACCATCAAACCCAGACTTACATGCAGCCATCAAACCCAGACTTACATGCAGCCATCAAACCCAGACTTACATGCAGCCATCAAACCCAGACTTACATGCAGCCATCAAACCCAGATTTACATACAACCACCAAACCCAGACTTACATGCAGCCATCAAACCCAGACTTACATGCAGCCATCAAACCCAGACTTACATGCAGCCATCAAACCCAGACTTACATGCAACCATCAAATCCAGACTTACATGCAACCATCAAACCCAGACTTACATGCAGCCATCAAACCCAGACTTACATGCAACCATCAAACCCAGACTTACATGCAACCATCAAACCCAGACTTACATGCAGCCATCAAACCCAGACTTACATGCAACCATCAAACCCAGACTTACATGCAACCATCAAACCCAGACTTACATGCAACCATCAAACCCAGACTTACATGCAACCATCAAACCCAGACTTACATGCAGCCATCAAACCCAGACTTACATGCAGCCATCAAACCCAGACTTACATGCAGCCATCAAACCCAGACTTACATGCAACCATCAAACCTTGACTGCAACCATCAAACCCAGACTACAACCATCAAACCCAGACTACAACCATCAAACCCAGACTTACCAGCCCACACTGACGACGTTACCCGTCCAATTTATGACAACCCGGGTTGCAGGATGTTGCTACCCCACTCGACGCCCTTTATCTCTCGGCACCCCATTGTGCCCCCGTATAGGCCAAGTGTGAACCGAACCTATGATGCAGGGCGCCAGGTTTTCAAGAGAATTTGCTTTCAGCTCTATCGAGATAACATAATGGTCTACGGGTAATGTAGAACCAAAAACACAGCAATCCGTCGACGCTGCCTACCCTTCCCCAGAACTCGCTTTAAAACATAGATTCTCCATTTCCTTTATGGGTATGGTTTATTTCAGCATTATACTTAATCCAGTTCTCAGTATTTAAATGGCATTTTATATACAGGCCTTCCTGATAAAAGAAACCCGCTTACAAAGAAAACACGCTATAGCTTTCTTCGAATTTGCATCAGCCTGTCAATACTCTAGTTCTAGCTACGTTCGCCCAACACAATTATCAGGAACTTATTGTGGATGGAACGCTTTTCCATTTTTCTGCATGGCTCGTTCGCTTGCATTCTACGGCCGCCGCCCCCAGGGGGCCTATTGGTTTGGCTTCACGGTCCGCAAGCGTAGCGTTCGTCTCACATCATTAATAAGCAGAGCAGCCGTGGCGAAGAGCTCTTTGATATCCCCTGAAAGAAGGGCGGTTAAGCATAAGATATTTCAAGTTAATGTTCAGTCTCAAATACGCAAGTTGTTTCGGAGTAGCTGGCTAAAGGGGGGAGGGTGCCGCCTTGTTTCAAGTGGTTGGAGTGTATCAAAACAAGAGGGCGGAGTGTCGGGGTGTCGTCTTGGTTCAAGGGGATGGAGTGGGTTCGTGTATCGAAACAAGAGTGTGGTGTGTCGGAGTGTCGTATTGGTTGAAGTGGGTGGGGGTGTAGAGTGTCATCTTGGTGTAGTAGATGGAGTGTCATCGTATTTTAAAAGTGCGGAGACAGTGTAGTCTGTTCTCAGTAGCGTGGAGTGTTGTAGATTGCACCCCCGGAGAACCAGATGTACTACCCTGACGTGAGTTAGACGAGAACCTTCTAGGGTGAGCAGCTAACGCGTGTCAACAGTGACAGGGACCGCTCACACTTGACTGGGTTATTGATCAGATGATGTCGGCACTGCTCAATGACGAGCTCGCGATCTGTGAACTGACAGGCAACTGTCTGGGTGGTCACGTGATCTAAATACTTAATTAACATGACAGTGGTTTATTGATTGCGCATATTAATAAGGGGATTATTGCCCGTCATTGATCCGTTATTCAGGGCTTAGCACAGGAGTGTTTGTAACCAATCCGTACTCTATGAGGAAGATACAAGCGGGAAGGCTATTTGTGAGCTGCTTGTAAAGTATTTCTGCTGTCAGTGGTAAAGGCCAATAAAGCACGTAGCGTTAGTTTCAGCCATACTTTTACTTCCTCCAGATGCACTGCACGTACTTACATACTTATATGTGTAACTACCTGTCCGGGTAGAGAACTCGTGGCTTTCGGCTTAACATGTTTATACTTAACCACTAGACCACGTCATTCCCATCGTAGCTTAGCTTAAGAATACTCAAGGTATCGACCCCAGAAAACTCAGAACGAGGTGTTAAATTATTTTTTTTAAACAGTGTGCTGTGTTAAAGCATGAATGATAATGGCAACTTGATTGTTATTTTATTATAACAATCCCCCACCCCACCTCCGAAGTAGGGGGGGGGTGGTTATACCGTCTTCTAGGAAGAGATGCCTGAAAGAGACTCTATTAAGAAGTCCGACCGATGCCATACTGTCCTTAGGTACGTGGAATTTCTCCAAGCTAGGCTGAAAATCAGTGGCGTAATTAGAAAAAAAAAGCCTACTCTCTCTCTCTCCTTCCCCCCCCCCTCCCCCCTGCATTTTTTTTCGAGCATATATTGGAGTGATCCTTATTTTCAAGATTTTTTATTTTTTCAACAGGACATTGCCCAATTGGATTCCATTTCGGTAAAAAAAAAATCAGTTAAAATATTTTTAGATCGGATTATTTGGGAGTCGCTACCAGAGCTAGAAGACTCAGCGTTGATTTAGATCCAGCATAAATTCGGATATATTTATCAAACAATTTTATTATAATTAAACGCAGTTAAAATTGTGAAAACCTTCACCTTTGACGCAAACACTGCGTTGTCGGATATCTAATTAGCGACTCTTCTCTGTAAATTACCACCTAAAGTTGTAATAAGAAGCCTAAATTTAGCCTCAATAATTTTCTGAGCAGATGAATTAATCAATGTGTGGAGGCTTAAGCTTTGATAAAATAAAATATGCCGCCAAATTATCTATATACTACTAAAACTCAAGTTTGAATATTTATTTGTTTTTTTGTTTGCTTTTTTGTTTGTCTGATTGAATACTGGAGAAAATCGGCGCTAGGTGGAGAGCTGTAAAAAAGTATGTAGGTAGAGAACAATATTTGTTTTCAGACAGACTGTTGATCACAAATTTATTTAAAGACGTTAATTAATTTATTGATTTATTCATAGGTAGATTAACCACATTAATTTTAAAGTTTTAGAACAATGGCTTTCTTTGACTGAATAGTGACGTCACACGTTTTGTTTACTTTTTAGTACAATAACATGGCGGCTTCTATCGAAGAAGATTGTGTTCCCATTCCAAAGTTTAACGCGTTCTAAAGCTAATTTTCTGTCGGCTATAGCTTTAATGATAGTCCGTTTGCTGTTTTTATTACGCTCCAACACTTATATAAATTTTCAACTGTCTTTTTCATTTAGTTTTACAATAAATTTCTCTAGCTCTACAATCTATCCAAGAAAGTTATTTATAGGTCTAAAAATATCTGGAGGCCAAGCACGTTATTTATAGTTCTAGATCTAGAATCTAGGTCAAACCAAAGATTAATTAGATACATACCAAAGATTAATTAGATAAAAATACAATCCATTTTATAATCATAATATATTTTTTAGTCCTTAAATACTTGATATAAATCTTTGTGATTTATCTATCTAGATCTAGATCTATCTAGCTAGAATAGGTCTAATGATTAGTTATATCTAGATTCTAGATCTAGATCTAGCAAGAGTTACGCAGAAACTAGAGTTAAGACTTAAGCAAACGAGTCGTAGAATTTAGATCTAGATAATTCTATCTAGATCTAGATAATTTCAGACCTTCATTTTTTATATAAATCTTTGTATATCTATGTAATTGGCTAATTTAAGATAAAATTTAATTTGACAGTTACTACTACTAGACTTAGATCTAGATCTATGCGCGTAAATCATGTTGCATAAGGATACTCAAGATATGAAACTATAGTATAAAAAAACAACTGTGACGTCACGATTCTAAATAGATAAGTTGTTAGTGTAATAGGCTTTCATGCGGGAGGCACGGGTTATTTTTTTTTTCAATTCTTTTCTATTTTTTAGATGTGAATGATAAAGTTGCCTATCTGAACTTGGCGAGATACAGGGCAGGTGAAGTAGAGTTCATCTGTCTCTTTGCCATAAGCATATGAAGGGATAGTGTTGTCAGATACATGCTCGGCCGGAATCGTTTTTTTAACGATAAAAACATGTTGTCTGAGACTTCGCGGGACACTGGGCAGGTGAAGTAGAGTTAAGTAGGTCACCTGTGACGTCAGTATATGAAGGAAGTACCAAATTTTCAATACGCCATTTACAAAATGTTGGACTTTGTAAAGAAAATACCAAATTTAAATTAGCCCCATTTAGAATCCAAAATAGGTTCTTTTAAAACTATACTGGGTCTAAATTTTTACAAAATATTAAAGTTAATACCATTTTAGCGCAATTTCCATTCTGGAGAATTGCGTTTATTAACCCGTCATTTCTGGATGGATGGATGAATGGATGAATGTGTGTCCGCAGCTTTAAGTCGTATCTCCTCCTCAACGAAGCAATATCGATGACTAGTTCCAAAAGCAATTATGTTAAGCAAGTTACGAGGATGAGCATAGGCCGTACAAATTCCGGGTTTCTTTCATGGATTTCCCGGAAAAGCCAAAAAACCTCGAAAAAATGCAGTTTTTGGCCCATATCTCGGCAACCAGACCACTAAGCGACTTGAAACATGTACCAATCGATTCCTGCCATAATTTAGAACAATATTGCCGAAGAAAGTTTTCAAAAATATACTTTCGTTCGGTCACAAAAAATTTTTTGAATTAATTAAAATTTGGACCGAATTAGTAGGCATTTTTTCCAACCACACCACACGCGTCATCACGTTCAATAGCTGCGCCATCACGTTCAATGGCTGCGACATCACGTTCAGTAGCAATGGTTTTTAGTCATGTAACTCTGTTGTAAAAAAAAATGCATAAAAAACGTTTTAATAACAAGCTTTTATGTAATGATGCACTAAAAAGTAGAAAATAAATTATAGACTACTATTTAAATAACTATAAAGAAAAGCGTGGGTCACTTTAGTATCTATTGGATACCTTTACTAATGTTAAGGAAGACACCCACGCTTTTCTTTATAGTTATTTAAATAGTAGTCTATAATTTATTTTCTACTTTTTAGTGCATCATTACATAAAAGCTTGTTATTAAAACGTTTTTTATGCATTTTTTTTCAGTACTTTACATGTTTTATCTACAATAGAGTTACATGACTAAAAACCATTGCGCGCCTACTGAATATCACGTTCAGTAGGCGCGCAATGGTTTTTGAACGCAGCCATTACGTGGTCGTGATGGCGCAGCTATTGATGACGCGTGTGGTGTGGTTGGCTAGACATGCCTACTAATTCGGTCCAAATTTTAATTAATTCATAAAAAATCAATTAGGCATCCAATTAAGTCAAATTTAGTTTCAGATTGCATTGTCTTCATGTCTTGACCCACGTGCCAACTGTGAATCGTGTCGGTCAAGTAGAACTGTCCGAATTTTCACTCCTGCGTTTCCGTCTAGACTGACGACAGACTGTCGACAGACAGAGGAAGTGAGTTAAATAAAAGCTTGTAATAAAACATGTAAAATACTGAATTTTTTTTAATAAAAAACGTTTTAATAACTAACCAATGGTTTTACTAACCCTGCTCTTGATTTACGCCACGACAGAGCTATTTTTAGATAACATAAGTAAATTGCGCTTAAATGTCACTAGACTTTTTAATTAACTTGTTTTAAAAATACACTGTCTAAATAAAATAAATAAATAAAGTTAACCTTATTTAAA